AACATTAGAGATTTGCAAAAGTGTAAAGTAATGCCATTCTTATCACTAAATTTTTTTGTTTTAGAAAATTTAATTTTTCATTTAAAAAGTGCTGTTTATGTTAACATGTTTATTTTTTTAATATGTATTTAATAAATATTTTGAGAGTGTTTTAATTCCCAATATGGTAAATAATAATTAACCTATATAATCAAAAGCTCACAGAGGTCTTCAAATATTTTTTGAAATATGAACGGGGGCTTTGAACCAAAAAGTTTGAGAAACACTAGTCTAAATCACCTTTGCATATTTTAAGTGATATAAAAATCAATCTCTGGATGGTATCATAATCTCTTCCTAGCAGGTTGCTCCTTAGTGAAAAAGACTGAAATCAACATTCTACACCTGAAAATAACATCAAATAAGCTCTTCCCACCATTTAAAGCAGCACTGGTAATTGCGTTTCTGAATTAACTCTCATTCATATAGTAAATATATACAGTATAAATGTAGGAAATGGCCCATTCATTTGCTTTCCCAAAAATGGCAAAGAGAGAACACTAACATCCAAGTAAAATAATATTCTGTGATTTTCTTATACCATTTCTCTCAGATTTGGAAGTTATGATTATGTAAGTCTATCAAAGGAGGTTTTAATCTGTAGGCTATCTACCTCTGTTGCAAAGAAAAATTCAAAGCTTTGTATATTGAACAAATAATTAAAATGAATTCTCAAACTGTTTTCTGAAAACTCCTATATAACTCTGTTTTACTTAGAAATAATCCAAAGTCTGTCTGTAAACAAAGTACCTAAACGCCTTAAACCTTAAAAAAAAAAAAAAAACCCCTATGCGGTCTCTATTTGGTTTTATAATGCAAATGTTCCTTTTTGTTTGCCATGTCTTTAACACTAATCACAGTAAACAATAAAAAGTGAAGTCATTTTAATTTTTTAGAAGTCTGATCATGTCCTATGAGCAAAAATCGTTTACCAAGCATGTATTTAAAAACATCTGGTAATAATGTATGTATATCCTGTCTTATTTGGGACAAGTGACCAAGGAAGGAAGAGCCCCAGTGGAAGAAAGAATATTTAAGACATGTCTGTAAAATCAAGAGGAAGTGCCGGAAGATTCAGGAAAAGGGTATTTTAGGTAGGAAGGAATAGCCTAAACAAAAGCATACACGCTTGAAATATCATGGAGTATGCAGAGATCATTCTGCTAGAGCAGAAGTGGAATGTGGGGAAATAGGGGGTAAAATGACAAATTTGTAGTTGCTATATGGATTTCATTCTATAGGTAAAGAGCTCCCAACTTCGGGCCACCGATGGTAACGGTCCGGGCCTGTTAGGAACAGGGCCACGCAACCAGAGGTGAGCTTGAATGTAAGGCACTTGAATCATCCCCACACCGTTCCCCCTGCCCTATCCTGCGGAAAAACTGTCTTCTGCAAAGCCAGTCACTGGTGCCAAAAAGGTGAGGGACCACTGCTGTAGGTCACAAGAAACCATAAATTATTGGGTTGGCCAGTAAGTCTGTATGTTTTTTTCTGTAAAATATAAGACACATTTTTCATTTTCACCAATAACTTACTTGATTTGGATACTTTGAGTATGTTGGTTATCTCCTGCATGGCATAACACTGATTGCTCTCAATGTATTGATTTGATCATTATCAATTTCAACTGGTCTACCCGACCACAGAGCATCATCCAGCAAGAAATCTCCAGCACAAAACTTCACAAACCACTTTTGGCACATTCAATCAGTCACAGCATCTTCTCCACACACTGCACAAATCTTTGTGTGTGTTTCACTTGTTTTTACCTTTCTTAAAATAATAAAGCATAATATGCTGAAAATGTTGAGTATTTCCTTCCATCTTCAGTATTAAAATAGCTACACAAAAATTCACCAAGTTTTATGTTTTTAAAAAAATGCACACTGCTATAACAACTGTCACAATACAATCTGAAATCATTTCAAATGAAGTTAAAGACAGTTACACTACTAGAGCCATCTTACAGAAAAAAAGAAACATTCTGGCCAACCCAAGAGGAAAGTGACACATCAGATTAATTAGAATCTAGTTATTACAAGGATCACTTTTTAAATATACAGGATGAATTACAGAGAAAAAAAACCCGGAGGAAAAGATACCAATAAAGACTAACATAAGTGAGGAATTAAGGCCTTAAGCAAAGGCCATAAAATTAAAGAAAAAGGGTTAAAGTTGAGGGAATTTTAAGAACCAAGGATAACAGAACTTAAAACGAGAAAAAATTTGAGAATGCAGAAGAGGAGCACGTGACTTTCTTCCCTGGCTCGGACAGCAACTGAATGGATGGTATTTTAATTAAATCAAGATAATAGATGAATTATGGAACAGAAGACAAAACATGAAATAAAATACAAGTTTAGACATACTATGGTCAAATATTCACGGGGTCTGGGATAGAGAACGGTGGTCCTGATCTGGACAGAGGGGACAAACTCAACTTGAGATCATTAACAAAAAGTTATAAATGCCATGGGACTAGATCACCTAATGAAAGGAGGAGAGAGCACAAAATCAGAAACTCAGGAACACTAACATGTAAGAAGGTTGAGAGAAGAGGAGAATTAAAAAAAGCAAGGGAGGGACAACAGGAAAGCACAAAGGAGAACCAAGAAAGAATGGTGTCATAAAAGTTAATAACGACAAAATTGTAAAATCAATGTAAATACTGTCAAATACTATGAACAGATCGAGTTTAACCTGGACTTATCAGTTATATCATTATTGTGAACACTGACCTGATTTTATTTTTACTAAGAGTAAGGGAGGAGACAGACTGAAGTAGTCTGAGGAGCGCATGAAAGACGATAAAGAAGAAAGATTAGGGTTTACTTTTAATCTGCCCTGCCTTTCCAATTATCCACTCAAAACACTTGAGATTGTGACAGGCATTGACTTAATGACTGATGTGATGAAATTAAGAGTTGGTAAGAGTTAAACTGGCTAGTTTAAAATAAAAAAAAGTCCTTGAAAAAGAAAGGAAGATGCTTCAAAAGAACAGTTCGTAACCTCACTGAAAGAGGTTGGGGAAAGCCAAGCGTGAGTATTTGCTGTATTCTTTCTACTCTGAAGTAACCCACATCAGAAGAAAAAGGTCAAAAAAAAGGGGCAAGAGAAACAGGTGAGAGAGGATCAGTAGAATTTAGATAATATAAGATGAACTAAACCCAAACTGGCTTGATAAATGAATTTCTGAGTTCTTAATGAGAAAGAACTAAGAGCATAACAGACTCATTCTGTAAAACTTATATGAAAACTAAGAATATGTAAATTCTGAGGACATATTAAATGAAAAATAAATATTGTTTAAAAGGTATTAAAGTTTTATGTCTCTAAAAGTGTTCTTTATCCTTTTTCTTAAGATCTTCTGGACATATTACATTTCATGAATGTCTGCTGCACATTTCATAAATATATTCTTTTATTTTTTTTTTAAAGAATCAAGTATTCTTCCAATTCTAATTTGCTAAGAATTTCAAATGGGGATGTGTATTAATTTAAAAAGAGGCATTTTGTTCATTTTATCTGTCCTTCTAAATGATAAGCACTTCGAAGTAATAAACTTTTATTCCTTTTTTAAGCCTCCCATCTATTAGATCTAGAGTAACAATAAGTACTGGAAATCTGGTTAATGAAAATCTATGAACAACTTGGTACTCAAAAAGAAGTCACTGTTTTTCTCATACACACACACACACACACGCGCGTATGCGTATCTCCCCACAGTATGCAAACAAAGATGTTAAATATCATCAAAAGTGTACAAGGGAATACAAGTTAGCACTCTAAAAGTAAACAGTGGGACTGCTGACTAAGATTTTATAAGCTCTGTAAACTTTATGTGAAAATTAATAAACTCAATGCTTTAGGAATAATTTAAATTCTTCAAACAGGCCTATGTAAAAAAAATACAGACTATAGTAATAATATTCCTCATGTTAATACAGAAGTTGGCTAAATAAAAGTACTAGGTTGATTCTGAAGTTCATTAAATGACCTCATGAAAAACACTATATTCTCTACTTTGAGACTATGCTTAAATAGAATAAACAGCAGGCATACTAGGACCAGCTGAAAAGCGTACCATTAATTTAACAAACAGTTCTACTGAAAACAGATTCAGAGCAGCAGGCTAAGTCCCATTTCAGCACACTCGCTTAACAGAGATGTATTCTGAATGGCTCTAGGGAAGTGCTACTCTTAAGACTATCAAAACAATACATGTGTGAGACACCGATAGCATTTATTTGTAGAGAATACACAGAAAAATTCCCCATGTCAACTGTACAGAATTACATTAAAACTAAAAAAACTTTGACCTGGTATTCAATTTAGTTGGGTAACATCATATCTGGATGCTCTTTCTTATGGGTTACATAATTCTAAAGAAAATTTAAATCACATAGTTTAGGAAATGGGTCTTTAAAAGAATAAGGCATTAAATACATCAAAGAAACCAGAAATACTTATTATTAAAAGAGGGTCAAAAACACAAAATACTGGGTAAGCTTTGAAAATATAATTCTACTGCTTCTTCCAGTATATTTTTCTCATGTTAACAGTAAGATATAAATGATTAATGTATTGTAGAAAATCTCACTTCCCATAAATCTGTCCTTGATTATGCTTTTAATAGCATGAAGAGAATACATATAACATTAAAAAACTGCTTCACAATTAATCCTAACTCTAACTGGAATCCATTCATTAAACAAATAATTACTGAGCACTTACCATGTGGCAAGGCACTGGTGTTCTAAGGGTTAAAACTGTAGCTGTCAATGAAACAAAATCTTTGTCTTCAAAAGTATTTTAATGGAAGAATTGTAAACAATCATATTTTGTCATCATTTTGAACAAAAATTCACAGAATTCAAAATGGGAAGCTATTTCATAAGATGAAAATTTAAAAGGTTTTGATATCACATGAAAATTCTTCTGTTGTTTACACTTAAACTTACCAATGCAAACTGATTGACTTGAATGAAGAGTATTTCTACCTCCTTTTCAGTAACTTCAGTCCCAAAGCCCTTATATTCTTTGTAGGCTTCAAGGTAAGAACGCAGCCACCGGCTCTGTAGTTCTCTACCTGGATAGAGACTATAGTCTACGTCACTCACACCTAAAGTGGAAAAAAAAATGCAATGATGACTTTAAAAACATATTCTCTTATGTATACTTTAATAAGTCTTACTATCTACATAATTTTCAGGGAAAAAAATGATCAAACATTTGGTTCAAATACTAGATTTAATAAGTATTTATTAAAATAATAAACCAAACAATCATAATGTTACAACTTAAATCTGAATACACAATACAGTTGATCACCATAATCAATTCTCATTGCTTCAATTTTTCTTCAAAGTGTGAAGCTTGAGCTACCTGCATCAGAGCATCAAATCTTCATTTTAATAAATATCCCAGAAGATTCCTGTGCACAATAATATTTGGAGCATTTCCTAGAACTATGGCTCGAAAATGTTCCTGACCATTACTCACAGGGTAAGAAATACATTTTATAATGAAACCTTACACACATGCCTAATACTAAGTTTCACAAACCATTATTTACCCTAACTATAACTTCCAACTCTGATATGTTCTAGTTCTTTTATGGCCCTTACCATATTTGATTTCATCATCTGCAGTTTGCAAAGCTAACCTAGAAGATAAAGTTCATACTATTTTGCCTAGCATTCAAGATTCTTCTCAAGTTGGTCCAAATTTACTTCTCTGGCCTTATAACCTTCTAGTCTCCTTCATGAATTTAATAAACTACAAAAATAAGTACACACCTTCAAGTTTTCTTCCTTCTTCCTGCAGTATCCTCCTTTTTCTTCTATCTGCACATACAAATGCTACCTAATCTCAAGCGTTAGCTTAACTTTTTTCTACATAAAATCGTATTAATATCAGTGGAGTTTCCTTTTTCATATACACAGCAGTGACTACACTTAATACTAACATGGTGATGTTTCATTATATAAACAGCTGCTTTCCCTTCCTACAGAGATGAGGAAATATGTACAGTATATATGTAGAGATATGACATGTATATGATAAGCTTGGTACAGGGAAATTACTCAATACATGTAAATTGAACCTTTTCTAACTTTTTTTCCCAGCCTGGTAACCTAAAGTGTAAGACAATACATGAATGCATGAATATATACAAATATAAATTCAGCAATGAAAGTTTCCTACTAGGTGTAAACCATCCAGGGGCATTTTCTATTCTTTAGTTCTAGAGCATTTCATGTTTCTAAATATAGTCATAAACTGTATCTTAAAATGATGCCATTTACATTTAAAAACTAAAACTTTTATACTTTTTGATAATAATATATTGATTTTCAGGGGCAAAAATGACCAGCTTTCCAATTATTAATAGTCAAAACAAAAAAAAAAAAAAACTCAAGCTTTTTAGTTAACCAACATTCCAAAAGTCCGAGTACACAATGAAAATAGCAAAGGCTTATAAATGATAAAAAATTGGTTTCAAGTCATAATTCTCTGTATTTTACTGTGCTGTTGGTAAGTTACTTCCCTCATCTGTACACTGTTAATATTACCTAACTTACAAAATTGTTGTGGAGAAAAAATAAGGTGAGAGGAGATTTGTAAAGCACCTTGCACTATGCTAGGTCTTAACAGAAGCCACAACAATTATTTATTTTCCTTAAGAAATTAAGGAAGAAATCTCCTCTGTCCCCTAATAATAAAAAACAGAGCAAAGGTCAGGAAGAAGTTATAAAAATGTTGCTCCTATTTTATCTATTTTAAAAGGAAAGAAAAAGCAATTTTAAAATTCTAAATGTATCTTATCAAAGTTACATGTGCTACGCTGTTAGTTAAGTCCTGAATTGTACCTGCAAATTCATTGAAATGATTTCCAATATCGTATGCCAGGTAGTTGTATCCAGAATATTCATAATCAATGAACTGTACATTACCTATGTGAGACACAAAAAAAAAGACATAAGAAATCATATATGAGATCAGAAAATCCCTAAGCTATTTGTAATTAAATAGCTTCCAATATTTTGTTATTCATAATCAACGAACTCTATATCACCTATGTGAGACACAAAAACAAAGACATAAGAAATCATATATAAGATCAGAAAATCCCTAAGCTGGTTGTAATTAAATAGCTTCCAAATTTTGTCTCATCGTACATGCTTGGTTATATGCACTTGAGACAATACAGGTTAAGGCTGTGAATTTTATGGCAGTGAGCTTTACAAAATTCAAATTACATATCATGGTCAACAGCTTCTTTATGAACACTAATGTCCACTATAATCAAGAAAGGTCAAAATACTGTATAGTCAGTCATTCTCTAAGTTCAAACAAAAGGAAAATGTCTCTCACCACATGGGGGCATCAGTTACTTAAAAATTAGTTTAATTAGAAAAGAACACTATCTTTGGAAATTTTAATAATCTAAGCAATTTTAACAAAAAATTAATCTATGATACTCCAACAGTGAACAAGCTAATCCACATATATGAATCAAATATAAACTTTGAAAGATTTATATTTTGTAGGGGAAAAAAAAGAGAAAGAGACAAGAGAAAGAGTTGAGAATCAAAATGCGTCACTGTCTGTATCAGGAATAAAAACTCAAAGGCTTACAAGGGCAAACAGTTAAAATGGATACATAAACAGAAATGTCTGTAAGAATAGTTTCTAAGCTACAATTGTGAAAATGAATAGCATATGCCTAGTTACACTGCCTTTTAAAGACAGATCATACTAAGGTAACAAAACAAACTCCTGGTCTGATACACGCTGGAAATACCCCCTACCCCCCAAAAAAGGCTTTGAACTATAATGTCTTGTTATAGATATGTATGTTTAATTTGGGGATGTACATTAAACATATTCAAACTCAGAAAAACAATGACCAAAAATGTCATGGCAAATGAAGTATTTTACATAAAAGTAAAATTTTAATGTAACTGCATTTAACATATAATTCCAAACTTGTATAATAGTCAAGTCTAGAGTAAAATAAATGAGAATCATGAAAGTATCAAAGCCCAATTATCAAAATCTATAAGCATATTGACAAAATAAATGTAAGATTTTAAAATACTGGTAACTACAATATTACTACAATTCAACAATCACAAGTATCAGCCTTCAATTCACGCACAAAATATTCCCATGGAAAGTCTTAAAAAGTTAACCAAATCACTTCACTAAATAGCAGAATGGGAAGTCAGAATGCTTTTAATTTTTTTCTAGATACCACTGAGAATGAGAGGGTGAAGACCACCATCATGAGAAAACACTTCGCAGCCATGAAAAAAAATTTCATTTTTGAAGATGACTTAATGACGAAGTTACAAATATTATATGAAAGATACTAAATAGTAAATGTAGAAATTCAAATTATTAAAATATTATTCCTAAAAGGGGAGGGGGACAAATAATACATAAGGGGAAAAAAAGATAACTAGAAATAAACAAAAATAAAAATTTCAATTGGTTTCACTACCAGTGACAGACAAGCATCCCTTTTTCCCTTATATTTTAAATTCTTTACAATCAACATTATTTTTAGGAGGAAAAAAATGATAATTTAAAAAGATTAAGACAAATTCTCTAAGCAAAACTATAAACAGACAAAAGACTAAAAAGAATTATTTGGGAGACACCTATCCCACTTGGTCACCAAGTCAGGATTAAAGACTTACCAAGTTGCACAACTGAGCTAACCAGTTTTATTTAACATAAAAATGTTTTAATTGCAGCTGTTGAGTGTTTTAACTCTTTAAACATAAATTCTTGTAGAGCTCATGTTAACTGTTAACATGCCAATAAAAATACACAGCCCAGTCCTGAAGATTACTTTTGCCAAATTTCAATTTTCAAAATTATATTCAGAATTTGGCAAATATGGTTAAGATGGCAGGTAAAACATGCCTGCTTGTAAATGCAATTCAAATAAATCATAAATCATTCATTTTAACAAAAGTTAAAATCCATTTCAGTATGAATGTTTTAGCAATGACTTCTTGTAGTAGCATTAATTCATTAAAACTAGCCTTCATTTTTATATGCTATGTTGAGTTTATAAATAATGAAATTTTAAAAATAAGAAAATGAAGCTAAGAAGATACAGATGAGGCTGTTACCAGGCTCCGTGCATGTGAACAAGTGATGCGACAAACCTCCAGTCAGTGCGTTTAAGAAGCACGGGGTGCGCCGCCACATGGCAGCAACAATGGCATACCTAATCTGTAGCAGATGAAGAAAATTTGGCAAACTCACATTTTACAAGACACAAAGCTTAAAAGGAAAAACTTTTTTTAAAAATCTGCATTAACTATTCTTTTTCAAACTTTTGCAAACAAAGTGGAACTCAACCTTAAATTTAATCTTCTGCAACCAAGTAAAATTAACGATGCCTACTTCCCTTATTTTGGGTGCCAGAAAAATCAAATTACCACAAAATGCTTTCTCGTAACAGAAAGTATACTAAATTTTTTTCTTCTGCAAAGTTAACTTATGACTTCTAGAATTTCCAGTTATTTAGAGGAACATCCACATCACTATCAATAATTAATAGTTTATACAGCATGATTATCTTGTTAATTCTTTAAGACACGAATTCTTAATTAGGATTTCAAGGGTGGAAAAAACTAGAATACTCCTTAAAATATTATACAAAATTTCATATGTATATGCATTTTCTGAGGGGATTCTCAATTCTCCAAATTCTCAAGAGACCCCTGACCACTAAAAAATAAAGTAGTGCTTTAAAGGCTAAGACTATGTATTATTTAATTAGCTCAGACTAGCACATAACAGGTAAAGCATAAGACTACTGAATAAATGTACTCTAAATTTTCAAAAGCTACACTTTATTACTGTATTTCTTGCATAACTTCACAGTAATAAAATCTACACACTAAATTAACTGTTCAAATCTCAGAACTGAAAATGTCAGCCAATTTTTAAAGTACGTTAAAACTAAAAATTATATTCATAAAGACTATGATTTACATGATATTCAGTTGGATTCCTTTATTTTGCTGTTGTTAAGGAGAAAGGAATAAAGATAAAAAGTAAAATAACCAGTGTTAAAATCCTGAAAGTCTTCCCAACTTACTTTCCCTTGTCGTTTTAGGTAAAGCATAACCATGATCACACTAATGTTAGCAAAACGTTCTCTCTCACACAGGAAAAAGAAATATTCTGCTCTGGGAAACTATCCCTTCATTCCTCACTCTGCTTCACCATAAGCACTCATCATTCTACATGTAAATATATGTTTCATAATCTGACTCCTCCACTACATGGCATATGGCTTCCTGGAAGGGAAGCAGGTCCCTTTCATCTTTCATCATGCAATCCACAGAGCAATACCTAACACACAGGAAGTATTAAAATGCTAGTGAAACAAATGAAGGTTTTTCAGAGAATGCTGAGACATAATGGTAACACATTTAAATGGGGTGTAGGGGGAATAAGCATGAAATGACAAAGAAAATGGCATTTTTGACATTCATATTCAAGTATATGAACATACAGTGGGACTAAACATATGCACAAAAAAAACCCATTAAACTAGTAACTATTTAGGTAACTCTTTTTACAGTCCTTTTATTACCTGATTTAGGGATATTTTATTTTACGCCAACTATGATCTGAAATACAAGTTAAAACAAAGTTTAACTATCCTTCATAAAAATTCCACCCTGGAAAATACAGGTTACCAAATACAAAAATAAATTTGTATTTACTTAAAGTTTAAGATAAAACCAACTAAGAAAAAACAAAACAAAACAAAAACCCTCTTGTAAGTTATTAAAATGTCAGTAAGACAACCACAACAATGCGCTTTTCATGAATAATAACAGAATGGGTAAGATTTAGAGCCAATCAAGTGATGGTGAATGTTAACTCACCTGTTTTCCATTTATATTCTGCAAAACTCTAAAGAAAAACCTGGTTTATGCTATAATTCCCAGGAAAAATCCTTTTCTTCCAGCCATTTGTACTTCCTTAAATAGCTGTAACTTAGTTTCTTGTATTTTGCAGACATAGAAAATAATCAATGGTTGCCATTACTGAAACTTAAAGTTATATATTAATCTGTATATGAGCTTTTATGAGGAAATGGCAAGAGGGAGAAAAATGAAAACTGCCTCCAATAAACAATGGCAGAGCATCAAGACATGAGGCAGCAATCTAAAAAACTTTATCAATTACTTCTAACATGTAAGCAGCTAAAGGATTAGTTGAAATTAAAATATTAGATTTGAGTCCTGGCTGGAGTGGCTCAGGGGACTGAGCACCGGCCTGCAAACCAAAGAGTCACCAGTTCAATTCCCAGTCGGGGCACATGCCTGGGTTGTGGGCCAGGTCCCCAGTCAAGGGGTGCAAACGAGGCAACCACACACTGATGTTTCCTTTCCCTCTTCTTCTCCTTCCCCTCCCCCTCTCTAAAAGTAAGTAAAATTTTTTTTAATCTTTTAAAAAATAATAAGATTTGAAATCAGGCAATAAGCAGCATTATAATTTGTTCTATTTACTATAAATTTTTTAATTATTAATTTAAAAGATGACTGGTAAGTCTTAGTTAAGAAACAAGAACCACTGCTTTTGGTTTTTCTATTATGTAACAAATCCTAATACCATATCATTAAGTATTCTTTTCTTACCTTTTTAAGATGTCATGTCTCTGAAGGCGAAATATGAGCTGCTGTTTAAAAATCACCTAAATTCTGGAACTAACTTTTCAAAAATCTTGACAGCCACCATCAACTTCAGAAAGGAAGCTCACTCTTCTCCCATACTCCTGAGTCCTGTCAACTGACATGGTGAGAAGAGGTGGTGGCAGTGTTTCTTCCTGTGATGGCTACCTTTCCTATGACATTCACAGGTGAAAATGCCTATAAACTTCAGGGTGCTCATAGTCTTCCTGTGTATGTCTATATGAATATGTACATATATACACACATACATATATGTATTTTTAAACTTTAATCACTCAAGGTACAGTTAAGACAGACTATAAGTTGCACTTAAAATCAAACTGAATTGGCATTTCATTCCTATGAGTCATAATTCCCCTAGTTATAGGACATAGTTAACCTTCTGGCTTACAATAACCATTTTCACTCTTTCAGATTCAGATATATTTAGTAAACTGCATCTTAGAAACAAAATACAGGGGTTGGAAAACTCTGTATGCCGAGGCCAAATCAAGCCAGCCCTCTGCCTGTTTTTATAAATAAAGTTTTTTGGAACACAACCACACATATTTATGTATTATATATGGCTATGTTTGGGGTACATCACAAAGTTACACAGTTGCAACAGAGACTATAACATGGAATGCAAGGCCTAAAACATGTACTATGCAGATACTTACAGAAAAAGTTTGCCAACCCCTATGGTATAAATATCTGTAACTGAAATCTGCCAAGTACCTCAGTGCTATATACTCTGTAAGCATGATAAAAGTCTTGTCAGGAACCATCTATCTGAAGTAGATTTTATCTAAGTAGAAAATAAGGCAAATTGAAGTTCTAATACTGCAGGGAACTCTGTTAAACATGCAGATTCTTAAGCCCATCTATAGAAATTCTTGTTCATTTGGTCTTGGATTTTTGTCCGGTTTCCTAGGTGATTCTGCCACAGAATCAAATATAATCACTTAATTTAAAAGAAAAAAAAAAAAAACTTTTCTAATACCACTTACTTCCACATGTGATTGAGCAGAAATTTGAACCCAAGTGTGCTTAGTTCCAAAAATCTATGCTTTCTGACTTCTCTTGGTTTTAACTAAGTTTAAATATATCTGCTTTTAAGAGTTAACATGAAGATTTAAATTTAGTTACAAACAAAATCTTAGTTACTATGGTTGAAAAATAAATGCAGGGATGCCAAAATGATACAGGATAAATTCATGAAGTTTAACTAGAATTTGCACTTCTGAGATATTAGGGATCTAAAACATACTACAGAAACATACTGAGCTTCATGATGTCACGGCTTTCACCTTATTATTTTTATATATCGTTATCTCATAGTGGGTACGAAACGGTGAAGCCCTGAGCTCAAATTACCGGATTGGACAAAAGTTCGTTTGTTTTTTTTTGCCATAAGATGGCTCTAGTGGCACTTAGTTGTCTTTAACTTCATTCGAAACAATTTTGTTAGATTGTATTGTGACAGCTGTCATGTCAGCATGCCTTTAAAATAACTTATTAAAATTGGTGAATTTTGTGTAGCCATTTTAGCATTGAAGATGGAAGAAATTATGCATTTTTGGCATACTATGCTTTATTATTTCAAGAAAGATAAAAACGCAACTGAAACACACAAAAGGGATTTGTGCTGTGTATGAAGGAGCTGTGACTCATCAACCGTGTCAGAAGTGGTTTGGGAAGTTTTGTGCCGGAGACTTCTCACTGGACGATGCTCCATGGTAGGGGAAAGCAGATGAAGTTGACATTGATCAAACTGAGACAGTAATTGAGAACAATCAACATCATACCATGCAGGAGATAGCCAGCATACTCAAAATATCCAAATCAATTACTGGTGAAAATGAAAAAAATGTGTTTTATTTTACAGAAAAAATAAATGGACTTCTGGCCAACCCAATACATTAAAAATTTAAAAAGTGATCAAACTTGTTGTGAATATAATATGCAGCATAATCATTTATTCTATGTAGAAATTATTTTAAAATTTCTGAAAGACTTAACACTTGGCTTTTATGTGCTATACAAAGTAACTAAGAAGGAAAAGAACTTTGAGATACATATTTCTCATTTTAATTATCCTCCTTCAGACTGCAGCTGTAAGTATAACACTAATGCTAAGCTACAGTCTATTTTTTTTGTTGTTGTTTGCTATTACATTTACTAAATTTATAGAATTTACATTTTTTAAAAAGTCTTGAGGCATGGAACTTGCTCCTTATAAAAGACAAATACATCATATAGTTATGTCAAAACCACTAGTTCCTATTTTAAAATAGAGTAAGATAATTAACAGAAAAAGCTACTAGCCACACTTTCATAGTATTACACTTTACCTAAAAAAGATTCCAACCACATTTTCTTAATGATTATCAACTAATCACAGAATTGATTTTTTTTTAAATGGATGCCATGGAGTCCACACTATCCTTCCTAACAAACACTGTAAAACCACTGGTAAGTAAAAATAATAGCACATCTCTATAACAAACGTAACTACAAAGACAATAAACAAATGGTATATAACAGACTTCTATGAAGAAGGGCAAACTTTAAAAAATATACCAGAATAATTTTAGTTGCTAAACTTGGAAATTTATTCATCTGTGTAGGGAAAATAATTAGACACCAAAGTATGATTTAGGTAACTCTTGGCAATATAACAAATGACAACCTTAAATTCCTAAAGCCATACTGAAGCATAAAGATGTTATTTGAAAATATGAGAACTTTTCATATCACTGATCAACAGTTTAGATAGGCAACTGATAAAATAAAAAATAAAAATGTACTTTTAATACCTAAGACAAAGTAATCTGATTTTTTTGGTCCCTTCTATTTTAGTTTTATAAATAATTTTGTTCTATGAAATGAATATGCAAAAGAAACATAAAGTATGAAAAGTTAAAATCAGATTCCAAAGGAAATAGACTCTTTGATTAACTTGCAGTTAAAAATAAAGCTGAGTGTCCACTTCAAATGTAAGATGAAGTCCCTCACCTGAAATTCCATTATATAAAATAATGTGTTCTGTGATCTTGCTAATACATCGCTTTAATGCATAAGTAATATTCTTGTCTCACAAATGGCATTGAGATTTGGTTACTAGTGTATATAATGTAATACATATATAATATGACAATTATATTTAATAAATGAATAATAAAATATTAAAGGACAGTGTCAAGTACCTAGTATTTTAGGGTACTCCTAAAGTTTTAAAAAATTAATTCCACACAAAAACTTCCAGATATTCAAAATAAAGATGTTAGTTCAGTATATTTTTAAATAAGAGAATCTCTAATCCACATTACAGTATCAAATATAAAAGGTACTCAAATCTGTTTTTGAAAATAGGTGCCTAAGGTTACCATCCTTGAGTGTTCTTTATTTAGTTTTCTTCAAGTTAGGAAGTTAACAAAGTTACAAAGTTACAAACTTGCTTCAAGTTAAAGCAATTTACAAAGATTAACCACCTTTGCACTGGCATAGTTTTGACTTACAATCTGTTAAGAATGGTCACAAATAGTAATGTAATATAATTATGGCCATTTAATCAGAATTCTTTGGCTTTAGTACCTTCACAACAACATACTTTCAATTCAAAACGATCTTCCAGCTATACAGATTGTCTCCTAAACTGATTTCCTATAATATTCATTCGCTTCATGGTTTCAAACAGACTTCTGAATACTAATCCTTCAACCAAAACTATATTTTTAAATTTCAATTTAGTACTGAAGGACATCTATTGTTTAGCAACCAAACCTCAAACTAATTTATCCAATAATAACACAACCACGTGTTTCTTAAATATGAAAATTTAGAGAATTTCAATACAGAAAAACATAAACAATCACAGAAAACATTTCACCAGAAAGTTTCACTGTCTACCTCAAAATACATTAAAACTATTTACCAGATCTTCTTGATTATTACTCTAGTAGATATAAATTTTAGCAACTACAAATAACATTCCCTCCATCTGTGGCTCTCTCCTTAGCACTGAACTACCTAAAAAAAAAAAGTGTAATAAACAGGTAAGAGAAAACCTGGAGACATATTTGCTTCTAATACTGTTGTCCTTTCTAACACTGAAAAAGTTTCTATATTTATAAAGCAGTAGAAAATCAAATGGTTTTTCAATAACCCCCATTACAAGCAGGTGTATTTTCAAACCATGAATTATCAAATAGGTTTTACAGTTATACTTATAAACAAAGTCATTTTTATCATTTTTCATTTAAAACTTGCTTAACAAGAACCAATTTGTTTCTATTAAACCAATTCTAAGAAGCATTTATACGAATATATAGAGAATACACATTCCTAGTTTATTAGTTACCATGGCTTAATAATCTAAAAAAGAAATTTAAAGACTTTATGCATGTTTTTAATCCTTGCATTTGATTTAAATTTGATAGAAAGAGCAAAAGACCATTAAGAACATCAAAGAAATCATGTCTACTTACTGCTAAGGCCAAATACCTACCTTGTTTCTCATTGTAGATAATATTCTTACACAGTAGGTCATTATGGCAAAGCACAACAGGTGAGCCCAGGTTGGAAAGAATATCTTTCATCCAAGTCATCTCTTCTTGAAGAATCTGAGAGCTTGGGATATCCCTTAGGAACCTTTTTGTTTAAAAAAAAAAAAAGATTTATATCTTTAGATCAATGACATTTTTTTCCAAGTTTGATTAAGGGTTAGTATCTAAGTTAAGAAGTTCTTTCCACTCAATTGCAAAAAGTTCTTAATTAAAACAAGCCCATTATTCCAAAAGCTAGAATAAAGAAAAACCGTTATAAAGAACATGAATAAAAAGAAACTGAGCAATAGTTAAAATGTAGAGCAGAAAGGTAAAATATGTATTGCTACAAAATTGAAGGAAAAAGTAATATATAGAGCTAATAGCTAACTATAAGCAGTATTCTAAATTTTTTACATTTATCTCCATTTTATAGATGGGGAAACCAAGACAAAAAGAGTCTAATAAAGAAAGGTTTAAGTATATTACTTGAAGTTACATAGACAGTCCATTAAAGAACTAAAACATATATTTCACATTTGGAAGGGTAAATACAATATTAATCAGCTAAATTCACATTTCAAGGTGTTAGATATTACATACTATTGCTATATCGATTCATTACATGTTAATCATATAATCATTTTATTATCATATGACAAGCATATCATAGAATTTTAATATTATCTACCACAGAAATTGCCTCAGAGTAGTCAGACTGGGGAGGGTGAGAGGTAGTGTGGCAAGCTGCTTGGAGATCATAGCTGTTTACCCTATGCTCTTCTGTACTATTTATTATGCTATATTTGTATTAATTTGATAAAAATATATTTAAAACCATTACACATGTTTTAATCCTTGCATTTGATTTAAATTTGATACAAAGATCAAAACACCATTAAGAACATCAAAGAAATCATGTCTACTTACTGTTAAGGTCAAATACATTTCAAAGTCACTTTGAAATTATTAGGCACAAATTTCCTCAATAATGCCATCAGGCTTACAAAACTATTGTTAGTGTAGTCTTTCTCTTCTTTCTTTTATACTTTAAGCCAAGTTCTTTTCATTCCTTCTCTAGTCTTTCAAGTTACTCATTACTTTTCCACTTTACAATATAATAATGATTCTCTACACTGAATTTACTTTAATAAATTTGCCTATTCAGGTGGCCTATATTTTTCTCACTACTGCATTCTCATCTACACGGCAGCTTCCAAAAGTAATCCTTATAGGTTCTTTTTAAAATGAGCTCTGGCTAGTGTGGCTCAGTGGATTGAGTGCTGGGCCTATGAACCAAAGGGTCACCAGTTCAATTCTCAGTCACGGCACATGTCTTGGTTGTGGGCCAGGTCCCCAGTACGGGACACATGAGAGACAATTACGCACCAATGCTTCTCTTCCTCTCTTTCTCCTTCCCCTCTCTCTAAAACTAAATAAATAAAATCTTTAAAAATATTAAAATAAAATGGTGTAATTGTTCAAAAATCTAGTTTACATGTACAGAGTTAAATCGAAGTAGAATTCAAAGGATTATGAACATGATGGAGGGGGGACACACTGAATGTGGGAGAGGGAGAGTAAGCAGGGCAGGGGAGAGTAAAAGGAGAAAAATGTCCAGGAACAACTGTAATTGAACGATAAAAAAACCTTAAAAAATAATGAAAAATAAAATAAAAAAACAGAAATGTTAGCTGGCAGATCTGAGATTTGATCCCCAGGCTATATGGCTCCAGTCTTCTGCTCTGAAACTATACAATGCTATTTACCGCCTCTCAACTCTGCTCTTATTTTAAAAATCAAGGAAATCTTGCATTCACCACTGCTACCTACTTCGTTATTTGTAAGTGGTCTTCCCCAAAAATCTTTCAATAAAATAGCTACTTCCAAAGAGAACTTCCTGTTTTTATGCTGTCACTTCCTCAGCACACTGGACACACTTGAAGACATTTCCCAATTAAAGGGGTATAATATCCTATCAAATTAAAAGTTTAATGAAATACCTGCAGACATAAACAGTTACACAGAGTGACTCAAACTAATCGTTGAAACAATCATACTCAACAAAACAATAAAGTTATTTTTCCCTAATAAATTTTTTTTAAAAAGAAAAAAAAATCTGTAAATCCCACGTTTGTTTGTTTGTTCTTAAAACAAAGGCTTCCTAAATACAAAAGGTGAAGTTTTCATGCACATTTTAGATACAAGGAACAAAATAAAATTCCAATTTTGTATTAATACAGATTCTAAAAACTGACTTACAAATTGTTTGACATAGAAAAATAATATAGAAAATAATGAAATACTAAAGTCAGTTTGAACCTGGGGAATCACTCTAACAAAATCTGAGTAAGACCCTAGTAAACGAATTTTCAACCCCAGTACATGGCACTTCAGTAGTTAGTAAACGAAGACAAAACAAACTTCTTCATACTCTGATATTAGTATCCTACCCCAATGTAGACCTCTATCTAGGTCTATTTAAAACAGCTTTGAACTAAAAGGATTTTTTTAGAGGTCTCAATGGCCAACTCATACTATACAAAAACACCCATTTATAGCGACCTTTCTATTTCATTTACTTGCAAATAAATGTTCTATATTTATTTCTTGGCCCTTCACGTCTACCCACTCCCATACCCCCTGCTTTTGTAGAGGTCGTCTTTGGGGGGTGCTCATCTGGGGGAAGAGAGAGAGAGACTTTATTTCTATAGCAACAGCTGAGAGTCAAATGAATCAATGATTATTTTATTTAAATACAAAGAGATAAACCAAACCAGATTTTATATACAGAAACTTCATTTAATAACCCCGTTTAAATAACCCAATATTTAGAATAAAGCAATGTGAAACATCGTTTCAAACGTAGAAGTCATTTTACCTTTTATTAAGATCTTCATCTGCAAATCCTGTGGGAATGAGAGAGAAATATTTCCCCATCTTGAGCCATAGGTTTGATTTGGGAATCCAGCCATTGTGTGCATGGATAGCATGAATTTTAGCAAGCTGGCGCGCTATTAGCCTGTTTAAAAACAAAACAGCATAAAAAGAAAAGGTTAAACATCATACAATTCATTGTCTAGCCATGGGTAAACTGAAATGACTAGTGTGTATTTTTTATAACACAATTTCATCTTTACTATAAATGTGTAAGTCAAAATAATTTGGCCAGTCACCTCACAAGGAGAAGAAAACGACTGCTTTAAGTGTCAGAAGGAAGATTTGGCAATTAAATATTGTGTCCAAAAAGGGCTGAATGACTGAAATTAGGTGGCCTATTTTGATTACACAATGTTTAGGATCAGCAGAAGAGCACACAGTAATGTATTTCAAGGCACATGTTAGACATTAATCAGAGATATATTTAAATTACACTAAGTCATTTTAATTTTGGGATTTTTAAAAGGTTAAAGGGCAAAAAGGGAATAATGTAAAAAGGTAACCAGGGAGATAAATGGATTCTATGAGTTAATTTCTATAACTGTGTTAAACACAAATGCTCTGAACAGACATTAGGATTTTATGATACAAGAATCAATCTTCTTGATGCACTCTCAAAATAACTTGGAGTTGCATATACTTGTGCTCATACTATGTTTGTCTCTGTAGAACCCAACAGAGCAAATGCTGATAGAGGAATAAGCACACCAAAAGAAACAAGAAATAAATTACCAAATCACCTACAGACCAATAGGTGGAAAAATGACTTAACAGTAATCCACAAAATGAATTAACTTAAAACTGGTAAATTTTCAAGATGCTAACAATCTAATATAATGCTCCTCAAATTAGTTCTAGGACTTACAAACAGCACCATGTATGAAAGGCTGAGGTCGCACCTCAGATCCACTCCATCACAATCTCCGGGGCAGGCCCCAGCATTCCTCTATTTGAAACAAGCTCTCTAGGTGATCCTAATCCACTCTAAAGTTTGAAGGCACTAATATAATGCTCTTCAGCTTGGCTATGTACTGAAACCAAATTCTGGAACTTTGAAGAAAAAATGCAGAGCCCTGGGTACTACCCCCCAGAATCTGTGATTTGATTGGTCTGAGCATCAAGATATTTAAAAGCTTCCCAGATGACTTCAATACATAAAAATATTCGAGAACCACTCCATCTAAGGTACACAGGGAATCTCACAACTTATTATTACATTCTCTAATTTTATCATAGTTTTATACTATAGTGAATATTCCTATCGACGTAGTTTCTAGTAACAAGAGTTCCGATTTTCCTCTGGAGGAACTTCCATCCCCTTCATTTTTAGTTCATGTGATTCATACAGCATTTATTTATCTCAATTTTGACTCCCTGTCCTACCTGCAACAGTAACTTCAGTAGGAATAAAATATGACACACACTTGCCCAGGACACTCCATCCTTCAGGCCATAATAACTGATTCAGGGCACATTATCCAAGATAGGCCAAAAGGACTTGATTCCAGAACTTTCACTGAAGCTCTGACTTTGGTTGAAAGTTTGGCATAAAAAAATCTATTTTTATGCCAAACTTTCATATATGCATAGACCCAAATTAATGTATGATACTTTAAGGAACAGGAAACTTCAGGAAAGAGCAAGGTGATGATAAAGCCAAAACAAAGGAGAGGGCAAATACACATACATACATAAACACATTTGTATATATACATATGTGTACGTGTGTGATACACACATATATATTTTAAGCCAGTAAGAACGGGTTTAAAACGTTATGGAGTTGGGACAAGAGGTGATAAGAAAGGTATGATCCGTGTTACATAAAACACAAAGGCAATCTATGTCAACAGAACATTATATCCTAGGAATGTTTACTCAACAAGGGAAACTGGTGATCTTGTGATTCAGGAGAAGTCACATAGTAAAACAGGTATTTAACATCAATCAATTTTATTTACTGATTTCAAAATAAATACCGCATTTTTTTGCTATGTATCATGTGCTCCCATGTATAATGCATACCCATGTTTTTGGCCCAAACTTCCAGGGAAAAAAATCTGTTGTTTTCGTTTTTTAATTCAATTTTTTATTTATATTCAGATACTTGTTTCTGTATTATAATGGAATTTTAGCACTTACTTTTGAACATATTATGGTACAAGAAATTTTATGTAACAAATAATTACAAAACACAAGAACAGATACAGGGTATTTCAGGTACTACCAATGTCTAATGAGCATCCTTATTTTTCCCTCAAAAATTTGGGCCAGAAAGTGCGCATTAAACAGCAAATTATGGTAAAAATAATGTCAATTTTCATTGTTTTACCCCAGAGTTTATATGAAACCCTGATATACAAAACATAAAATGTAGTCTCAGAAATTGTCTAAGTTATTTAGCTAGGAGTGACTGGGGTGACAATTCTATGGTAAACACTTCAAAATGAATAATATATATGGCCACAATTCCAAGGGCTCTTATATAGATTAATGGAATCTGTTGAATAGAAATAGAGATTAAAAGAGAAAACACATACAACTTTTGAGTGCCTTAACTTTTCTGGCACAAAAGTGGATAACTGGAGCAATTTGAACTCATTACGTGAGGCAAAGCCAAGCCCTTTCCACTACAGAATACCCTATACAGAATGCCACTATAACGCTGTACAGAATTAGTTGGGTTTTCATTCTGACTTTGCCATTGCATTTTTAACCTGAACTAAAGCCAAATTACTTAATTTCTCTAAGTTTCAGTTTTCTTACAAAAAAATTACAGTTTTATTTTGTAATCTTTAAGTTCTCCTTCAAATCTAAAATTATATGCCAATGAGTATTAGGAAAAAAAATTACATAAAATTTAACTGATGACAACATTAACATTCTTATTCCTATACAAAGATCCTGTAAACTAATTTCCCACTTCACACCAATTTCCTACTAGTTATAATAAAATTATTAAGTGAACATAAGCTATGGATTAACAAGCAAATTTTCCAAATGATATTTTTATAAAGTTTATCAAATATAAATTTCCCTTTTAACAAATTTGATATTACAGAGGAAAAGTGAGAATTACTTTTATATGAAATTTTACAAAAAACCTCTATAAAACTTAAGAGCTAATTATAATCTTCTAAAGTAAATTATAGATATATTTGCCCTATGCATAGGTGTACTGTTAAAGTATTTATATAAGGGGCAAAATTAATATTATATGACTATATTATGTTTAATAGGTAAAAATATATTGAGTGTTACTTGTTTTACATTAGCATTTTCCTATAAAATTCAAAATAGAATAACAATAGTAATAATAATAGTTGAGACTGCTTTGTCAATACTATTGATAAAAACTTCCACTAAGTTACTCTACAAAGAACAAAGACCATGCCTTATTTTTCCATCTATTCTAGCACTCAGCACTTAGAAGAGGTACTTAACAGGTATTTGATGAATTAGAGTCATTATCTTAGCAACAAACTCAAAGTACATTTAGAAATTTACTATAAGACCAAGGGATTCACCCACTACTGTATTAGGTTTATTGTCAGGTGGATTAAAATCTATCTTGGATTTTTTAATCTCATAAAGTAACAGTTATAACAAAATTAATGCTATACAAAAAGAAAGTGACCATTTGAAATCCTGCCTGTTTTTTTTTACGAGACAGACACATCCAGTGGAAGCCTCTTCTCAAAGTACAGAATTCAAGCAACTTCTACAGGTCTTAGAACTACCTGGTCTATCTTTTCTGGAGAAAAATTAATGAGGATGTAAATCTATTTATAAGTACAAATATCTTCATGGAAATAACAAATACAATTCAATTGCAATCACAGCACCTACATACTAAAAAACTAGGCTTTGCTGAGAGATTTTAAAAAGTAAGTTCTAATTACAAGTTCCATACTCACCTAAAATCTTGGATAAATTGGGCTTGATCAAAACAATTTGTAAAGAATGGCTTTGTTAAGAAAATTAATAGTATTTATTAATAAATGAAGTCAATAAAGTTGCAGAACACAAAAGCAATTCATAAAAGTCAGCTGCAGTTCTGTATTAACAGCAAACAATCCAAAAAGGAAAGTAAGAGAACAATTCTATTTACAACAGCATCAAAAATAGTAAAATACTTAAGAATGACCTTAACCAAGGGATGAACGACTCTGTACACTGAAAACTACAAAATGTACCTGAAAAAAATTAAATTACATGAATAAATGGAAAGATATCACATGTTCATGGATTGAAGATGTCAATACTACTCAAAGTGATCAACAGATCCAACGCACTTGGCATAAAAACCCCATTAGTGTTTTCTGCACAGATAGGAAAGTCCATCCTAAAATTCAAACAGAATCTTAAGGAACCGTGGATAGCTACAACAACCTTGAAAAACAAGAATAAAGTTGGGGGGGTCTCACACTTCCTGATTTCAAAACTTATTACAAAGCTACAGTTATCAAAGCAGCACAATAAAGGAGGTTTTCAAATAATGTAATTTCATTCAGTGTTGATGAGAAAAAAACAATTTGCAGCCAGGGCCACTGTCTGTGTGGAGCTTGTACGTTCTTCCCATGTCTGCATGGGTTTTCTCGAAGTACTCCAGTTTCCTCCCACCTACGATACGCACATTAGGTGAAATGCCCGGTCTAAATGGCCCCAGTCTGAGTGTTGGGAGGTGTGAAAGTGCACCCTGTGTTGAAATGGTATTCTGTCCAGGGTGGGTTTCCGCCTTTCCAATATAGGCTCAGGACACTTGCAACCCGAAATTGGAATAACTAGGTTGGAAAATAATTTTCTTACTAGTTTTTATCAATCCTTCTTAAATGTATGTATAGTTCACATTTATTTCAGTTCTTAATACTAGAAGTGTTTTTGGGTCATCATTTAGAAGATTGGTAATGTTTCTGTGACCAAAAACATGCCATAAGAACTTAACTCTTGTTTACAGTTGACCCTTCAACAACACAGGGATTCGGGGTGCCACCGACTCCCCTGCGCAACAGAAAATCCACATACAACTTTGACTCCAAAAAACTTAACTGCATTATATAACTGACCCTTGAACATAGGGATTAGTGGTACTAACCTCCCAGAGTTGGAAATCTGCATTTAACTTTTTTTTAAAGATATTATTTATTTACTTTTAGAGAGAGGGGAAGGGAAAGAAACATCAATGTGCAAGAGATACACTGATAGGATGTTTCTTGCACGCCCCCAACTGGGGATCTGGACCACAACCCAGGCATGTGCTAGGAATCAAACCAGTGATCCCTTGGTTTACAGGCTGGCGCCCAATCCACTGAGCCACACCAGCCAGAGCAAAAAGTCTGCATTTAACTCTCTGCATTTTTGACTCTCTGAAAAAAATAACTATTGTGCTAATAAGCCTGTTGATGGAATTGGTAACATAAAGGCAATTACCCACAATGGGATACTACCTCACACTATTAGGATGGCTAATATCAAAAATAAAATAAAATAAAAACCAAAACTATTAGGTGTTGTCAATGATTGGGAGAAATTGGAACCCTTGTGCACTATTGGTGGAAATGTAAAACGCTGCAACAGCTATGGAAAAAAGTATGACAATTCCTCAAAAAATTAAAAATAAAATTACCATATGATACGGTAATTCCACTTCTGGTTATATCCCCAAAAGAACTGAAAGCAGGGTCTCAAAAATATTTGCACACCTGTGTTCATAACAGTATTATTCACAATAGTCAAAACGTGGAAGCAACCCAAATCTCCATCCATGAATGAATAAGAAAAATATGACATATACATAAAATTGGGTATTAGTCAGTCTTAAAAACAAAAGAAATTCTGACATATGCTGCAACAGGAATGAACCCTGAAGGCATTATGCTAAGTGAAATAAGTCAGTCACAAAAAACAAAAGTATGCATCCACTAACATGAGGTACCTAAAGCAGTTAAATTTATCCAACCATAAGAGGTTGGATAAGAGGTTAGATTTGCAAGATGAAATGAACTATGAAGACTGGTTGTACAATGTGTACTTAACATCATATACTACACATTACAGGGTTTGGCAAAAGTAGGTTTATAGCTGTGAGTACATAAAACAATTTATTCTTTATTCTTTATTAATTATTATATTATTTACTTGTATTACAACTTAAACCTACTTTTGCTAACACCTGTATATATATACACTATATACTATATAATACTATATAAACTGTATACTTAAAAAATAACCAAAATAATAAATTGTTACATGTATTTTAACCCAGTTAAAAAATGTTAATAAAATCATAAAAAAGAATATAGGTCTTAAAAAGTTTTCATTAAAACAATCAATTGTTTTCTATTAGTAAATTTTATATACAACAGGAAAAACTATCAAAAAATCTCTTCATTAAGGTAACGGCATTATTTAATAAACCACTGATTTTTGTTTTATATATACAAGAAGGTAATGAAAAATTACTTAAAGATTTCTATCATATATTAGTCTTCTACCTAGTCTAAATAAATAAGATTTTACTGAACTAACATCAAGGCAAATGCTATTTTAAAATTCTATACTCAATAAAGCTAAATGTTTGAAAATCTTAAAGCTTCAGTGAATTCCTCAAACACCTACTAACGGCGTCCCTTCCTGGAAACTCTTATATATTTAAGAGCATTAAAGCAATAACAGGAATTTTTTAAAATTGAAAAATAATCCCTTAATCTAATCCCAATAGAGTTTATTTCATTTTTACTCATACTCCCTTTGAGTTTCCACATGAGCAAATTATTGTCTGACTGTAGCTATAGGTCACTTATCAAGCTGATTTTTTTCTTATTAGCTATGCATGTTTTAGACAATATTCAATATTATCATTTAAATAGTGGCATAATACTTATTAATGCTGGTATACCTTAATTATATCTAAGTATGAGTTGTCATGACAGAAACATAACATTTAACATTTTTAAGTGACTACCTATTGCCTTACTGATTTCCAAAAGAGAACATTACCAATTCTGCTTGCAATCCACAATGAACCAGTTTCACTACAATGCCTTTAGCACTCGAAGTCAGGTTTTTTAGTTACAGTTCTTAAAAATATGCAACTGCCCTGGCCAGGTGGCTCAGTTAGTTGGAGCATGGTCCCATACACCAAAAGGCTGTGATTCAATCCCTGATCAGGAGGATATGGGAGGCAACCAATCAATGTTTTTCTCTAAGATGAATGTTTCTCTCTGAAATCAATAAACATATCCTCAGGTGAAGATTCAAAAAAAGAAAATAAAGAAAAGAAAATGTGCAACAATTCACTTGAAACCACCCTTCTCCCACTATGTCTGCTGCTGGGTGTTTTTTTATTACACTTCAGTCAGGATTCCCAGGAAGAGGCAAGATTTAGAGAGACACCTGATGAGAAAATTCCTAAACCTTTGAAATTTTTAAAAATTTTTTGAAAGTCTCTGCAATACCTGATTGTTACAGAAGAGTTCAAATAAAACAGATCATAACTTTCATAAATTGAATTACTAGGTAAGCATTAAGTTGGTACAACTGGCCTTTAACTATCATCCCATTCCCTCATCTTCCTCTTTGCTCTGCCTCATCCTTTAAAGCACAGTTGAAATGTGATCTCAGTGAAACACCGCCTGATTTCCCCAGTATACTACAATAAATTATCTGTACTTTTTTGAAAAGCTTTTCACCCATGTATACCATTTCACTGCCCCCTCCCTAAGATTACTGTCTATCACAAACTGTAAATTACTAGGAAAGCAAGAACTACCTGAATTCTTTTTCCTCCCCTAAACTAGATCAAACATAAACATGTATTCCAACATCTTTTATATTTAAAGTAGATACTTTGTTATAATTCAAGCAAGTAGATAGTGCCTGAATGAGCCAAGCAGAGAGCACTGTGGATTTTGGTCTAAGGTGTAATCAACACTTACTGAAGCTGTGATTCATCAGTCCAGATTGTTGGCTGCATTTTATCAATAGGCTGACTTAAAAACAATGGCTTAAAATGTGACATCTAATTAAACCCAAACTGGTAATAAATGTTAAATGCTTTAAGTGTTGCTTCAAAAAATTAAGTGGTAGCCTTGTTCTTCTGGAGCAAACTAATCCAAAACCTCTTGTAGTCCTTTCTTTGGCAGAGTCAACAATCAGAATGAAAAGAAAGAAAATGTTTATCAAAGAAAACCCTAACTAAAGAAAGTTTCTAGGTTAAACAAATGGTTGTTCAAAGAAAACACAATTTTAAAATATATTTTCTTAGTGTGCTTAACACTTGTTTTGAAAAAGGAAAAATTGAGAGAAAGAAACATACCTGAAAATGGCAGGGTTGCGGACATGCTTTGGATCCAATGCTTCTCCCTGTATAAATTCATAGCACAGTCCATTATTGAAAGTACAGTAGAGTTGTGGTGCACAGCCATGAGCCTGTAACACTCGGAAACTCTTCACTTCCTCATCTCGATCGACTAACAACTCAGTCTTATTGCCATAAATCCGCACCAGGACAACATCCTCCATTGTATTGCCCACATAACAGCCAATAAGTTTGTTTGTGATTCCATCAGTGAAGAGCTGCCCAAAAAAGAAAAAAATGGGGGGAAAAACAATTACATACCTTCAGAGAACTGAGTAAAAGATAACGTGAAATTAATTAAATACCAATTAAAAGAAATTATTTGTTTTAACATAAAAGAACTTTTGAATACAATTTTGCCTAATGTGTCTTTAATTTTAATTCTAGTTAAACAAATAGCAATTAGGCTGTTTAGTTTTGCCCTTAATTTCTATAACATTGGCTTCCTTGATTCAGAAGTATTAATTATTCGACAACCAGTATTTCTATATAACTTTCTGATAGCTATTATATCTCAGTCTGCCTTGTGCTGCAATCATTGCAAATTAATGTGTGTGTACGTCAAGTCTACAACTCCTGTTAAAGTTTTATCTACTTCTGTATCAGAGTTTCTAGATTATCAGCCTACCCTACAAATTTCAAACCCACTAGCCTCCACGGTTGCAAGAGCCAAGTCCTTGAAATAAATAATATATGAGAAATTCTATTTCTCTGTACAACCCTGACACAAACAGTTTTTAACCTTTTAATTCTATTCATAAGAATTTATTCTTTGGATATACTTTTAAAAATTTCCAAATATATATGTATAAAAGCAGTTCACTGCAAGACTTCTTAATATCCAAAAAACAGAAACAATTCAAGGATGCTTTAAAAATATAGGACAGATTACATACACTAACATGGGAAGATGTCTAAGATACACTCGTATTAAAAAGATACAGAGTAACTTAGTTATGCATATAAAAGAAATATATTTATAGATATTTATAAATATACTTTGATATGTGCCCTGGTAAATTCATAATTTGCTATTATTTTAGAAGTTCAAAGGAAACCATTTGCAAAATGACTTGGAGTTGACAAAGTTAGACTTTTCATTTTTCATTCATATTCTTGTATGTGTTATAAAGTATTTTATTAAGGGCATACATCATTTATATTTTTTAAGCAAAATCAACAGGTTTAGATAGAATATGGCCTAATTTTCTTCTTTTTACTCCACAGTTTTTTTAAAACCTCATTTAAAAATAATTGTCACATAATGTTAACATGACCAAATACTATGCTTGCAGCTATCAAAAAACTATAATCAATATCATACAAACATGGAAAAATGGTTACAAAAGGCTATATAAAAAAAGGAATACAAAACTACCCATGGTGTGATTATAACTATGTAAAATACATATGGGAGAAGTAGAGGGAAATAAAAAAAAAAATCAGGTAATTTTAAAATGAAATATAGATAGGAATTTTTTCTATTCAAAGTTTTAACACTGTAAACATCCTTTTAGTAAAACTAAATTATTTAATGTGAAAAGAAATTTCAATTCCTTTTTAAAGGAAATTCATGTACTTGGTATATTATCAGAATACGGACTTGCAAAAAAAAGACTAATTCAAAATGTTCTATTTTGTTCATTAAAAAAAAACTGTAATTGCTACTGTGATAACCACTAGAGGGAGGGAGAGGTTAGGACCAGGAAGAAAAATGGAGATAATATTCTGGGCTACTTGTACTACTTTATTTCTTTCCCTGGGTCTGGGTTACAAAGGTATTTTGGTTCTACTACAGATTATGTTTCATGCATTTTTCTAAATGTTTGTTGTACCTTACAAATTTTAAGTGACAGAAATTTATCTATTTATAACCCATTTGTTATATCAAAGAGTAAAATAACTCCTTACAAGACAAATCATGAGATATATAACGTGATTCCTTAAGTATAGATCTTCTATTACTGCCCTACCCTTGTCACTCAAAAGAAAAAAAATCTTAAGCTCCTCTCTTTCCTCATCTACAAGCAATTAATAAGTCCTGCACATTTATTTTCTGATATGCCAAACCTGACCCTTGTTTTCCGTCTCCAAGGCCACTGTCCTAACTAGGATCTCAACACCTCTTGCCTAGACGAACAGCCTATCCTAGATTAATTCTTTCTCAAATATTTGTTAACAGAATAAATAGAAAGGTATCTATTTACCACCTAATTCAGTACACAGATATTTTATATAAAGGTAAAAGAACCCTGACCGGATGTTTCAATTCCCAACGCACTAGGGTTGTGGGTTCGATCCCAGATCAGGGCACATACCAGAATCAACCAATGAGTGCATAAATGGGTGGAACAACAGGTAGGTGTTTCTCTCTCTCCCTTCCTAACTCTCTAAAAATCAATAAATAATTTAATTATTAAAATTAAAACAAGCTTCACAAAACAATACTTACCTTATTACTTGCAAAGCTCTATGATCTATCACATTCCATTTTATTTTATTTTATTTTATTTATTTTTAGAAAGAGGGGAAGAAAGGGAGAAAGAGAAGGAAAGAAACATCAATGTGTGAGAGAAACGGACTGGTTGCCTCTCACATGCCCTCAAACTGGGGACCTGGTCCACAACCCAAGCACGTGCCCTGACTGGGAATCAAATCTTTTGGTTTTCAGAGTGAAGCCCAATCCACTGAGCCACACCAATCAGAGCTCACATACAATTTTAATTCATCTATTTAATCCATAATGGTTTCCACCCCCTATATTAACTTAGCATCCGATAGTGTATGATAACCACTAGTTTCAAAAGCAATGTCCTAAGTGATCACTTATCCCCTAATTCAAAGTATTTTCTTCAACCTATCTATGGCTGCTTACTCCGGCCCCTACTCTAAAAAATATACACTATAACTCACCTACTTAAAAACATTCAAGGGCTTCCAATTATGTCCTACATAATACCATCTCCTTAATGAGGCACAAAACCTTCTTATATAACCACTCTTCTTCTCAAAAATCAACTTAACTTCCTTTATGTTCGCCCAAAATACTCAGTCTAACTTTATGAAATACTTTTATTTGTACTTTCTGATAACTTTCCTTCAAAGCTCAGCTCAGGTGCCCTCCTATATGAAGCCTTCCCTCCTACATTTTCCCATGCCTACCTTCTGCTACAATTAGGTGCACAAACCACTGTTGTTAACAATTAGTATTATACCTAGTACAAAAAAATTACATGTCAGGTTTACTAAATTTTAGTAGCTTACAAATCTTTCAGATCAAATTTTCCAACTATAAATGCGGGGAGGGGCTGGGAGGAGTTAGAGGTGAGAGATGGATCCATGTAACACTAAAACATGCTATATATAATTTTATACACTTAATTCTCAGGATATTCTATTAGTAGTAACGTAGTATTAGTAATAAAATTAGCATTAGTAGTATAGTAGTGAAGTAGTGATGTAGTAGCAAAATTCTGTAATTCTGTTTTCCAAGGTACATAGTAATGTCATTATTTTATAGTTTTTAAATATGCCAAAGGTTTCAAATGACTGGGATGAGGATTCAAAGACCATCCTCTTCCACCACATTACGCTGAGGCCCCCGAAAGGTGAAATGGTTTTAGTCCAAGTCACACAGCTTAATACTCAAAAATGAACTATCACATTATGCTTCTCTTTTTAGTTACAGCTTAATAAAATGCATGAGCGTGATCACTTCGGCAGCACATACATATACTAAAATTGGAATGATACAGAGAAGATTAACATGACCTCTGCACAAGGATAACAATGCAAATTTGTGAAGTGTTCCATATTTTAAGAAAAATACATGGGAGCTCTTGGGAACTGTCCTGCCTGGTTTCAGAGACTGCAGCCTTGCCAACATGCCAGAAGGCCCAAAGGCTGGAGCTGAGCAAGGCGGCCTTGGGAAAACAGGCCAGAGGAGACAAAACCTGTCCCCCTGGTAGAGGTGCAGCCACTACCTCCCTCACATCACCCTGCTTGGCCCCGCAGGATGGCTGGTTAGTCAACAACGGGTAAGACCTCTCGATGGCAGGGGCAACCTAAGACAGGCCCAGTTGCATAGAGGCCATCAGGGAAGGAGTGGGGGGACATGGAGATGGGGCAAAAGACTGTTACCCCTCAGCTTTGTCAGGTATGGAGTCTTCATTCTATCTGAAAAAAATCTCCTTATATCTTGGCTGCTTTGTTCCACCTGCCTGACCAGGTCACTGAAACAATACTAGAGGCAGGTACAGCCCTAAACCGGATCAGGTGGTTACAGGGGGCAATTAGGCCTGGAAAAGGAATGCATTAAATCCTATGAAATCTTCTTTGCTAAGAATGCCTTTGAGTTGAACAGCACTGGTGTTTGGATTCTCAGTATAGGATGAGTTTATTTTCCTAGATTTCAGGGCCCAATGGGCTTCACTCTGCTTACCTGACCTGACTCAGAAAGACTCCTGTAATCCCTTTACTGTTATCATTGAACCATATCTCCTTCCTTTAAACATTTCTGTTTATCACTGATTGATGAGCTTAATGCACACACTTTGTATCTCTATACGAAGGAAACGCAATAAAATCCACTTCAAGAGAACGTCTTGGGCATTCTCCACTGGAGGGAAGAGCTACCCCCTCACCTGACAGGAAAATCATGTCTGGTTCAGTTTATTTATTCATCCCCGGTGACCTAGGAGCCTCTGGGGGACCAGGTATGCCCCTCAGGGAGCCTATCAAACAATACACACCTCTTAGCCACAGACAATAGTCTTAGGTCCTGCCATCCACTCAAATACCTTGTTCTTATGAGACGCTGAGAACAAAGAGAAGAAATAGAGAACAAAAACCTGGACTTAACCATTGATATCAAAAATTAGGGTAAATAGTCCTGGCTGGCGTGGCTCAGTGGATTGAGCGCTGGCCTGCAAACCAAAGGGTCAACAGTTCATTTCCCTAAATTGCAGGCCAGGTCTCCAGTAGGGAGTGCATGAGAGGCAACCACACACTGATGTTTCTCTCCCTCTCTCCTTCCTTTTCCCTCCCTAAAAATAAATAAATAAAATCTTTAAAAAAGAAAAAAAGTTATATTAAACAAAAACTATGACCCCTCCCCCATATGTATCTATAGGACTCAAGTTTCCTATAAACATTATATCCTTCTGGGAACCCTTAATATATTACTTAAATTTATCTAACACTGTTCATAAACTTTTATCATGTAAAGGAACAAACTCATCTTTATAAAAATGGGAAGAGATATTAATTATATTAGAACACCAAAAGAGACACAATTTAAAAGAGCAACTAGATAATCAGATTTTGATTCCTCATTAAAATAAAAAAATCAAATAGTAATATTCAAATAAAAGGAGTTAAGAGATTTTTAATAGAATTTTTCAATAACTATCTCAAACATAGTTAAAGAGGAAGAAGGGAACAAAAAGGCTATGTAGCTACATAACCTAACACAAGTACTGGTTTTGAAGACAGTGCACATATACTTAAAAATAAATAAATAAAGAGATTTCAGGACTGCGTTCAAAAACTTGTACTATAGCCCTGATCAGGGAGCTCAGTTGGTCAGTATCGTCCCCATAGCCATGGCTGCGGGTTAGTAAATCCAGTCAGGGCACATACAAGAAACTAAGGAATGTACCAATAACTGGAACAAACACTGATGTTTCTCTCTACCCCTCTTTCTAAAAATCAATAAAAATTTTTTACAAAACTTGTACTACAGCAGAACAGTATGCGTTTTAAGGAGTTTTGTGTAAACTTTATACATGCACACTTTTCTGTAATTATTTAATTTGTACATCATGCTGGGAATTTCTAAGAACAGATGCGCTGTTTGCTTTTTTGATTTGGGCATCTAATATATAGCAGGTGCTCAGTAGTGTTCAATAATTATCACAAGAAACAGCATTTATTTCATTCGCACAAAAACCTTCTGAGGTAAAAACAACAGGATCCATTTTACAGCTAAGGATACTGAAGCTTACAGAAGTTAAGTAACTTGACCAACATAACACATCTAGTCAAGTAAAAAGCACGTACTCAAAACCAGCACTACGTTCAAACCCCATGTTCTGGAGTGGTATAATATAGTGTTTATTGAAAAACTAAGTTAATAACAAGGTACTATATAGCAACTGATCTCATTAGACCCTATAAACAAGAATAAATGTGTTAGCTTTATAGTGTCACATAATAATTGGGGTCTTTCTATCCTAGCAGGCCTTTCCCATCATCTACCATAGGTCCCAAGTTATTTAAAAAAAAAAAAAAAAAAAAACAGTTCACAAGTTAATGGAAAAAACTGTCCAATATTGCAGAGGAAGATCCAGAGACAAAATACAAGAATTTTCCAAACACTGATTGGTCCACCATATTAGAAGAAAAACAATTTTAAGGACCTCCAGAGAATTATTCCATTGGGCCTAAAAGATCTCTCTTGATTCTTTATTCTTTTTTCTAGAACTATCCAAAGAAATGAAGATAAACCAAAACTCTACAGCTTCATATAAGACAGGGAGTTGCTACATAACGAAAGGAAAGCTGTAGTAAATCCCTTCTCTAAAACAATGTTACACGTGTAAAAAGTAATGCAAATTTACATTCAGGAGAACTACAACAAAATCTTTTTTATGTACTAAAGCTTTTATTTTTAAGGAATTATGCAGTGGCTCATTGGGTGAAGCAGGAGCCTGGAAACCAAAAGGTTACCGGTTCGATTCCCTGTTGCAGCACATGCCTGGGTTGCAGCCAAATCCCCAACCAGGAGTGAGCATGAGGCAGCCAATCAATGTTTCTCTCACACATCGTTCTCTCAACCCTCTCTCCCTTCTCCTCTCTGAAAATAAATAAAATCTTTAAAAAAAAAAGAAATTAATTTTACACAGAAATGGCTTCCCTACTTTAATCATAATATACGAACATAAACTCTTCTGGATCAAAGAGTAATAATTAATAAGATGGGTTCCCATCCCAGATCTGCTATTTACAAACTGCAAGTTCAATTTCATTAACTATAAAATACATATTAAAAGTCTAGATCTACCTCACAGGATTGTTTTGGAAGAATGTATGTGGAGTGCTTTATAAAAAGTAAAATATTAAATAGAAAGCACTGCAACTAGTATTGTTTATACCTACTATGCCTATTATAAGATATTACATTCCAAAGAACTCATCACCTCTTTTATACTTTATTATTTAATCTTGTACAAATAGGGAAACCAAGTAATTAAATGTGTTAAAACCCTATCTAAAATGATATATATTATTCCATGTGTCCTTAAGTTTTGAGCAAAGACCAGGCCCTCTATCATTTTAACTGCATTGAAGTCTTTTTTTGACTGCTTCTGGATTTTCCCATATGTTCTGAATAGTTCAGCTGGTAGGAATAATTGCCAGGTTTAAAAAAAAAAAAGTATTGCTAGGTACATTTAAAGCATATTTTAAATCATGTAAAAATTTTAGAAAAAAAGATTTGACAAGAAATCTTTTTATAGATATATATTGATATATATCTATGTATCTATACAGCTGATCTGTCTTAATCTGGTGAGTATATGATACATAACTTCCCCTTCTGAATTTTGAGGTATGATTTTTATTTTTTATTTCAATAAAAAATTTTTAACAAATTTCCAAATGAATTTACTAGGCAAATCCCAAAGTGTCATAAAAGCAGTTTATAATGACCTAAAATGTGGAAGTCAAATTTAAAATGAGATGAATAACCATCGATTCAGCTTAGTTGTCCCAGCTTCTGAATCAAAAGCTTTGCTTGCACATAGAAAAATTGTATTTCTAATAATCATTCTGAGGGCAAAACAAGTAGTGGTATTTACCTTTATTTACAAATAAGTTTATTAAAAAGTTTGAATTATGAGGCCAAAGGTCTTAAAGTCAAAAGTTGCTACATAGATAGAAGACAAGATGCAATCCCAAGGACTCACCAACAACCAAAAAGTTTTATATTTCCACATTTTTGTCCCTTTTTAAACTATAATCTGGCTTTACTTCTCTGAGCTTCAAGGAAGGAAGGAAGGGAAGAAGGCAGGGAGGGAGGGAGGGAGGGAGGGAAGGAGAGAGGGAAGGAGGGAGGGAAGGAGGGAGGGGAGAAGAGGGGAGAGGAGAGGGGGGAGGGGGGAGAGAGAGAGAGAACCTATGTAAATGGTTGTTTGGGGGATTAAATGATAAAAAATACTGATCACATAATTCAAACTTGGCATACAGGACCTCAGGATGCCTACTATTACTGTTCTACAAACGAACTCCAGTCTTCAAAGACTCAAACTTTAAAATCTCTTCTTAAAAAGTAACTGGTTTGTCAGAGCTAGAGTTTACTAGGAAGTAGTATGGCTTTAATCAATCTGTTTAATTTATAACTGACAGACTACAAGTCATTTTAATAATACAAAAATCTATAATTAACTACACATAAGTTAATGAACAATGAACTAAAGAAGTCTGGGGTTTCAGTTAATTTAATTTTCCTTAACTAAAGAAAAATCAATCATTTGGATTCACACTGTCGTAAATAGTTGGCTAATAAACACTTCATTTAGGTTTCAAAATTTCTAACAATTTTTTTCCAAAACACATGGGTCCTTTAAATCTGCTCAAAACTCTTCTAAGCAATAAAAACTGAAACTAACACTCAAGGAAGCCTGAGTGTCAGGAACTGTTCTGGGCCCTAGGGCAATGTTCATGTTTTATTCATCTTTGTATATAGGTGGCTACTTTAGCAAAGAATCTGAGATATGTTAAGTCAATTACATTGCTGAATCAATTAGTCAACAAAATAAGGCCGATTATTTGGCTACTTCAGTGATAGTCTTAACATTACTTCTCAGATTTGAAAACTCCAAATACCCTAGTCTTTAAAATTACTTTGTGGAAAAGGTGGTTCATTTTGTTATATAGTTCCTGAAATTCCAAAAGTTAAAAACAAATTAGTATTCAAAATAAATTTCATGTATACGAAATCATAATTTATTAGAAGTACTAGAAAATGCTTAGATTAAGAACTTGTTCTCCTAGCTTTTGTCTATCTCTGAATACAGTGGCTCAAGAAAAATATTCACAAGCCACTGAGGATTCTAACATCAGATAGTGTTAATTTCACTAAGATAAGCAAAAAAATTAATATCGATCCATATAAAACAAGGTGTGTAGTGCTGCCTAAGAACCCAATCTAGTAATGCATGACCGTGGTTATTTCTTTGGGATCGAGTAGTCCCCAATTCAAGGATCTGAGAAGGTATAACGCAGGGTGAGGCATCGATGGAGGTAAGTCGCTGGGGGAGGGGAGGAAAAGGAAAAGATCAGAGAGGATTAATTACTGCATTATTTACGAAAGGATAAGAGAAGGTTGCTTGGGCCGAAAGGCGAGGACCCTTAACAAGGGAATTGGAAAGGGCTCGTTTTGCATTTAGAATGGACAAGGCAGTGGCAGGAGGGGGTCAACTATCCACAGGAATCCCCCGGGTGTAGAGTGGGTTCGTCACTTACGTGGCCGGTTTTAGACAGAGGAAATATGCCCCCATGACTACTTCAACAAGCGATTGTGAAGAAGGGGGAGTGACCTTCCTCGGCACGAGGAGGAAATACAGGGTCACTTCTCAAAGGGCTAAAGGAGAAGATGTTCCCGTGGGTCCTCCTCGGTGATCTAGGAATACAAGGGATTGTGAAAACCTCAGGGCCGTGTCCGGGTTGTGAACGAGGGAAGGCTGAGGTGTGGGCGTTACCTGCAGGGTCACCTCCTGAGGATCCCAGTGCGGCCGCAGGTGTTGCAGGAGGCTCAGGGCCCCTTCCCGGCAACGTTGCTCCTCCTGATCCTGAACCGTGACGTCCAGCTTGGGGACCTCCGGGGAGCCCGACGGGACGTGGATGTAATTGGCCATGGCCCAGGCGACGGTGGAGACTATCACAACGACGACCGCTACGGCGACCACGAGAACGGCGGGCGCCGACAGGCTGGTGGATCCTTCCGTCCCGGGGCGCCCTCGCGGGAGGGCTGGGGGCGCTCAGACTGACGGGCAGGCAGTAAAAGAATGGTTGGAGGAGGGACCCCGCCGACCCGAGTCTGGACAGCAACTGAACCGAGCCGAGGCTGTTCTCGCATAAATTCCTTTCGTCTGCGTTCGACCGCCGGCAGCCGCGCAGCATGCCGGGACTGGCCTGACGCTGGCGTCACGCGCGCGGGGTGGGGCCTCTGCCTGCGTCAGGCACTGACGCCGATTTTATAGCCGCAGGCACAATGGTTCAGTTGACCAGAGCTCCGTTGTTCTACCGTTGTCAGGCTGTTTCTCGTGCTTCTAAACCGAAAAACGCGGGCTCCTCCTCCGGCATGAGCTTGAGCCCATGCCAAGACCCCAAAGGCATTAAAGCTTTAGCTCACCTGATCAGGAGGGTCTTGGAGTCTGGGTTTGAGGTAGGGGATGAGTTTTTCTGGGAAGTAGGGACAGGTCCTGGAGCAGCCTCTGAATTTGGCCTGAGTCTGGGCAAACTGGATTAACTTGGTCGCATTGATCCCTTCAATATTTATTTTTTACGTCAGATGTGGATCGTACTGAGAATTATTCAAGGGCGGGAAAAAAACAGCTTATAGTATGGAATGAAGATAAAAGGGAAGGAAAGGAAAATAGTCTCGGGGCTCACTGTTAGATTGACTGGATATACCTGTTGCAGGGTATCCTTGAGTGGACCTTAAAATGACTACCTTAAAACTTTTAGTCTCCAAGTTTTGTAGCAGCTATTTCTCCTGTTAGGGAAATACTGGAAACTGGACAATTCACAAGTAATTTATTGGGACCTCTTTATTTTCTTCATAATTGATGAAAGTGAACTGAGATCTGACTTCTTAATCTATGTCTTCCCTATAACACTTAGGACATGGTGAACAGATTTGTTAGTGGTAAATTAAATCACTAACCGGATTCAGTTTAATTAACATTCAAAATGTTTAATTACCTCATTAACATGAGTTTGCATCCTGATTTTCAGAAAAACTTACCTTCGTAAGTCACAAAATAAATAGCTCACTATCCATATTGGTTAACAGCATAAACTGAAAAAGAGGGAAAAGAAAATATAGTTTCATAATACAGCAAGTAAGTAGATTCAACATTTTCCAGACTTAGGCATTTATTTTTTTTTTAAATCATGCACTACAAGAAATACTTGATTATGTGTTCCATCCAATTTGGGGAGAAATAATATACTAATACTTTCATATTTCAGAAGGCATCTCTTATATTTTTGTATAATTTGTAAACTTGACATTTTAAAATTTTTAAACTTTTTGAATTGTAAATGGTTTAATAGCAAATCATTAAAAAAACATTTTGGGAACTGCACAAGTTCGTAATTTTAAGAAACATCCATTAACAATTATAAATAAAACAACAGGTATACCTGAGAAAAAATTAAAGATGTGCAAGACCTCTGTAGATGAAAGTCTATTGATGGAATAATAAACCATATTCATAAATAAGACAAGATACTTAAAGAGCATGGTTTCCACTGAACTAATCAATAACTATATGCAATTACAATTAAAATTTCAACAGGATTTTTCACAGAACTTGCTAAAATGTCATTAAAATTCATACCAAATCTTAAGTTTCAAGAAAAGCTGCTATAATTTTTTGTGGATGAAGGAGTCTTGGAGAATAGGTTGGGAGAACCCATCCAATGAGGATTTATTATATAACAATTTAGGAAGGCATAAAGAGACCAGTAGAACATAAAAAGTGCAGAAAAAGATGAACACGCGTATAAGAACTCTGAATATGACAAAAGTGGCATAAAAATGTAGATGATAAAGGGGTGCTATAATAAATCATAAATTCCTAACTGGATGGATCACAGTGGATAGTCATGCCCATGCCTGTAGCTTCTTAGGGAGAGGCTTTTAAGCCAGCCCTGTCCATTGTTTTCGAGCATCTATGTTAACAAACCTTTGGAATACGAGAAGTAATACCCCTTGAAAGTATAACCACCTTCAAGAGAACACATAATCTTATTAACTATACTATAACCCAGACCCCACTTTCTTTTTCCCACCTTTATGTAATCTTTACATTCCCTCCTTAATTTCAAAAAGCATAAAGAAACTGCAAAACTCATTATGTAGAGCATTTGAGACCTGGCTTCCTTGCAATTGTTGTCAATTTTGGCTCAAATAGACTCATAAAAATTACCTGCAAGGTTGTATGTTTCTTACATTGACAAAAATGAGGAAAGGATAGGCTAGTCAATAAATGGTACTGGAACAATAGTTCTTCATATGGGAAAAAATTTTGATCCATCATTCTGAGTAAAAATTCTAGAAAGTTAAAAACCTAAATGTTATACACAAAACTTTAAAAATATGTAAGATGTCTTTTTTTAATTTTATTTTTCAATGACAATTTTCATTCAATATTATTTTGTATTATTTTCAGGTATACAATATAGTGGTTAGAAATGTCAGTTTTCATCAACTCGATGTATAAATTCAATGCAAATCCCAGCAAGTTACTATATACATATCAACAAACTTATTCTAAAGTTTACGTGGACAGGCAAAAGACCCAGAATAACCAATACAATATTGAAGAACACTGATCAAGGCAGTGCAATATTGGCAAAGAATAGAAACATAAATTAATGGAACAAAATAGAGCCCAGAAATAGATTCACTCAAATATAGTTAACTGATCTTGGAAAAAGAAGCAAAGGCAATTTTATAGAGAAAGGATAATCTTTTCAATAAATGCTGCTAAAACAATTGGACATGCACATAAAAAAAAAAAACTAGACACCTTAATTTAAAAATTAAATTTGTAAAAGTTAATTTCACAAAATTAACTCAAAATGAATCACAGACCTAAATTTAAAACAAAACTATAAAATTCTTGAGAAAACCTAGGAGAAAGTCTAGGTGACCTTGGGTTTGGCAATGAGTTTTTAGATACAACACCAAAAGCACAATTTATGAAATAAAAATCAGTGAGTTGGACTTCATTAAAATTAAAAATTTCTACCATGTCAAGAGAAGGAAAAGGAAAGCCATAGACTGGGAGAAAATATTTGCAAAACATATATATGATAAAAATAAAATTAAAAACTTGTATCCAAAATACACAAAGAATCCTCAAAAGTTCACACTGGGAAAACCACACAATTTAAAAATGGGCAGAGGATCAGAATCTCATGAATAAGATATGCAGATAGCAAACAAGTATGTGAAAACATGTTCAATATCATACGTCATTAGGGAATTGCTACTTAAAACAATGAAGATACCACTACACACTTATTTGAATGGCTAAAATTCAAAATACTGATGTCACCAAAATGCTGATGAAGAAGCAAATGAATAGGAACTCTCATTCATCATTGGTGGGATGCAAAATAGTATAGTCACTTTGGAAAAAAGTCTGGCATATCCTTACAAAGTTAAACATAGTCGTACCATACAATTCAGTAATCATCCTTGATTGCCCAAATAAGTTGAAAACTTACATCTACATAAATACCTACACACAAGTGTTCAAAGAATCTTTATTCATACTTGCTAAAATTCAGAAGCAACCAAGATAGCCTTCAACAGTAACTAGATTTTTTTTTTTTTAAATCTGGTACATCAATATAATGTAATATTATTCAGCAATAAAAAGAAAACAGGGATCATTCATGAAAAACATGGAAGAAACAAATGCATGTTGTAAAGTGAAATCAGTCAGTCTGAAAAGGCTACCCAATGTATGATTTCAACCATATGGCATTCTGGAAAGGCACAACAATAGAGACAGATCAGCGGTTCAGGCAGAGGGAAGGGGGGATAAATAGATGGGCCACAGGGAATTTCTAAAATTTTTATTTTTCAATTACAGTTGACATTCAATACTGTTTTAGTTTCAGGTGTACAGCATAGTGGTTAGACATTTATATAACTTACAAAGTGATCCCCCAATAAGTCTTACACCCATCTAACACCATATATAATTATTACACTATTATTGATTATATCCTCTAAGCTGTACTTTACATCCCCATAATTATTTTGTAACTATCAATTTGTACTACTTAATTCCTTCACTTCTTTTCACTTAGCCCCCCTAACCCACATCCCATCTGGCAACCATCAGTTTGTTCTCTGCATCTATGATTTTTTTTCTCATCAACATTGTAACAAAACAGTGTTGAATGAGTTGATTCTATTCAAAACCTATTGTACTCTGATATGCTGAACTCTCCTGCCTGACCACTTTATAGGCCACAGGCCAGATCTTTAATTATCTTTAGCCTTGAAACAAACCCTTAGCTACATGACATCATTAAAATTGCTTAGGACCTTGCAACATGTCTAGAGGATATACGGTAGTTATGAAGATATAACATCAAAATAAAGTGTTCTATACATATTAGCCCCCTTCCTGTATTTAACATGATGTTGGGGTCCTTCAGTTCCTGGATTGACCTGTCTCCTATCTCTGCTTCTTGAAATCCCACTCTTCCTTTTCAGTTTGTATTTATGTCTGCCTTTATTCCAGTCTCATACTGTTTTGGTTACTGTAGCTTTGTAATATGCTTGAACTCAGGAAATGCTTTATTCTTCTTTCCTAAATTGAATTTTGAGATTATTTTTCCTATTTCTGCAAAAAATTGCCATTTGTTTTTTTGTTTGCTTGTTTACTAAGTAACTTGACTTTTTCAAGTCTACAAGGAAGGACTATTTATATCTCCCTAAATCACACAAACAAAATATAATTAAAGCCCATGCTGTTTTTTGTAACATTTTTTTACTTCAGTGAACATGTTGCAAGGATTTTTTTAATTATTTTTTTCTAAAGTATATGTGATGAATAAACTTATATTTGAAGTGTACAACATGATGATTATATATAGCCACTGATATCCTGATACATACTACATTAAATATGTAGGTCGCTTTGGGTAGTATGGATATTTTAGCAATACTCATTCTTCCAATTCATGAACATAGTTCTCTTTTGATTCATTTGTGTCTAATTTCTTTCAGCAATTGCCATGATTTATTGGATTGTTCCATTTTCAGTAGGTTTTTAGGTTGTCCCAATTTTCACTATTACAATTAACATTTTTAGTAACATCTTTGTGCATGTATCTTTCATTTCTGATTGCTTCC